TGTCATCACAAATAAACATATCCCAGAGTCTCAAAAACATAATCTTCTGCCAGTGTGTACAAATTATGTCGGCGCCTTCCCGTGAGGCTATAACTCGGTGTGACCCCAAAACACCACATACAACACATAAGCCACTCGAGGCTATAACTCGGTATAACCCTCTGGTCAATGTGTCTTAGTGGGACCCTGCAGTCCCGTAGCTCATTGGACCCTCCGATCCGGCCTGTATTGTTGGACCCTTCGGTTTGGTCTATATCGTTGGACCCTCCGGTTCGGTCTATATCGTTAGAGCCTCCGATCTGGTCTATATCGTTGGACCTTTCGATCCGGTCTATATAACACATAGCATATATATAACGCAATGCACATAAATCTCAAACATACATATACACATAAGACCCTCCGGTCTGCACATGGATACCACTCTAGATAATTAATAGTGAGAAGACTCACCTCGTGTAATTTCGAAAAGTCTCGAACTCGAAATACTAATCTAGCCTCCGCCTAATCACATAAAAAAATTCACCTCCAATTAACAACAATTCTCAAAGGCTAGTCTAATCCCTTCCTATAGTCTCGCAGAAGGGGAAAGACCATTTTACCCCTCTTAACTAACATGTTCATTTATACAAACAACTCTACTAGTAAACTATAATAGGTATAGTTTAAGAAGTCACTACTCACTATTTCTATTACAATGAAACATAAAAAGGGTCAGTTCATACATGAGTCAATACATACTATTATGAGAAACGATACAAATATACTATAATGAGAAACTAAGAGAACATACTATTATGAGACACATAACGAATATACTATGATGAGAAAGTAAGAGAATATACTATTATGAGAAACATAACGAATATACTATAATGAGAAACTAAGAGAATAAACTATTATGAGAAACCTAACGAACATACTATGATGAGAAACAAAGAGAACATAATACATACTAGTCAGAGAGAACATACATTACACTAGTACATACAATACATATACAAGAAAACTATAACATAAATGTGAGTCACTACTTCGGGGCATGGCATCACTTCTATGGCTCGTTTTGTAACCAGAGTCTCCTGTAGGGAGAGCGTGAATTTATGTATAGATCTATACGGGACGGACCGTCATATACCTTGTTACTAGCTATAGTGGGATCTGCAGGTCTATGGGTGACGAATGTCATACCATATCGATGTCTTTGAACGTTGTGTTTTACTAAGTCGATCAAGCATGGTTACAATTATATCACATTATACCTTAATTAATAGTTGGCTTAAGGTAGTTAGTACAACAGTAGTTACTATAATACAACAGTACAGTACTTTATTATTTTTCCCATTACATTCACATTGTGATCTTCTCACATAAACGATAATGTAAAAACTATATTTTTTTAATTATAGTCATACTTTGGAAAATACACACTTCTACAAGAAATAAACATACAGAACATTTGATGCCTTGGTAGAAGGCTACCTTTAGTAGAAAATATAAGATTTTCTAGAAGATACAAACATTTACTACAAACTTATACTTCAAATACTTACAAATATTTTCATACGAACAATGACACTAAAATGCTTATGAACTCACCAGCTTTAAAGATGATAAACACTTTCAAAATAACTTGTACTCTCAGATCATCAGTAGACAGGTACCGATTCCAGGTTTTGAGAAGATGGAGCGTGTTCAAGACTCATATCTTATTTTGATTATATTTTTGGTGTCTTATAACTATACAAAACACACTTGTATTAAATTATATTATTAATGCAATGGATGATGTTGTTGCTTGTTTACTATTATGCTTTGTAGTGATACTGTACATGACGTCCTCCGCCCCGGAACGTTTCCGCCGTTCAGGTTTTGGAGTGTGATAGATTGGTATCAAAGCATTATTTATAGTGAATCAAGTATATCAACCCATAAAAGATATACAAACTATAAACACAACAGCAATAAAATACTCTGACCAAGCGTTTATACTTTTAAAAAATAAAATATTTAACTAAGTATACATACCTGCATTCATACTAAAATCAGTGTTGCTAGGACAGAACAAAAGTATTACGATTGTTGAACATCAAAATTAGACTAGGGGATGTATGGTGATTTCTGGGAATGACATAGCTTGATCAACTATGTTGGTCCGAGAAGTGATTAGCAAATGCCCAAGGATGGCTGTGAGATTGCAACAAGTCTAAAAACATACCAACACTACTAGAATGAGAACATTAAAACAGAACATAAACCTAAAATACTATAGGAGTATTTTGTGTTACTATAATTACTTATTTGAGAGCTAAAAAGGTCTTTACTAGTAGGTCAATAGTTGCTAAGGAAGTATGCTAAGGTTATATGTGATTAACGTGTCATAGACTTAGAATCTGTGATCTTTGCTTTACTTCCTCTTCCTTGTTTGGTTGTGGATTTAGATTTAGGGTTACTTATTTGAAGGTATATCCTGTTTTGATTTCATATAACTTGTATGCACTACGCAAGTATTGAAGTAACTGGTAATGACCATCTTATAATTATCTTAAGTAGTACGTCTATTTATATTAGATTCTTAAACCCCTTTTCTCGCATAGATATCATGGTTGGATTCCATCCTCCAGGTGACCCGTACTTCCCAAATCAAGGCAATGTTGGATGGCCTGAAGCAGAGCTAGAAGAGGATCATCCAATCCCTTTAGATGATCACCACGCTAAAGGCTTTTCTGTTGGTTCTGACTCCTAACCTGAAGTCAACAACCTACCTCAAGAGGTTCAAGTCCCAAATCTCAACCGTCGACTAGCATTTCAAGGTCCCACATCCTTGTGGGCAACAAACTTGAACTAATGGTTCCATGAACAGGATCAACCTTTAGCCTTCTACGGAGATCGAAGCTTCTACAATGTTAGCGAGGGAGGCTCAGCTGACCGAGTCCTGTTCATCATGGTTCGTAGGATCTATCGGAATGTTGAACAAGGTCGGGGAACTATCAACCGATTCATGGAAATTGATGCCAATTCGGGCGTTAACACGGTCCGTATTATCCATCTCGAAGAAGCTATGTAAAGGACTAGGAGAGCCAATGAGACTCTGCAGCAGGAACTAGCTACATCCCGAGCTGAAGTCTTAGAATTCCGTGTGTGTCAGAGAGTCCATGAGAGACATCTTTAGGATATAGTTCGTCAACTAGCAGATCTGAGGGTTCGTCCGAGGAGTACCCGTCACCGGTAGAAGATGTCTGACTCATCTTTTCTTTTCGGTTAAGAAATAGCCTTTCTTATCTGTGCTCTAAGTAGCACTGTTCTATAATATATTCCTGTCTCTCAAACACTATAACTAGACTTCTAAGCTGTCAACATTTTCCCTTACGGTTTGATGTAAGACCTACTATTAAGTCATTTTTCCCGAACTCGTTACATCAATAATGCCAGTAATATTGACAGTTATCTAATCTGTTGAAAAATATTTGCTCTGGTGTTTTTTCTACCCTACTCTTGTGTCTCTATTGCAATCATGAATTCATTCAACTATTGGACTATGGTGATTTAGCCCATAGATCACTCTCATTTTACTTACAACTAATTCTTACTATCATCATCAACCTTTGTAAAATTTCAGTTAAGCAATGCCTCCTTGAAGAGTGACGAGGCGTAATCCTCTGGCAACTTCAACACCAACACCATCTCCTCTGCAATATAACCCAACATCTATTCAAGCTGCTGTGAATGTGGTTGTTACTGCAACTCTAGCACAATTCACCTCAACTGGTACTAGTGGAGTGAAACTTATGTGCCTCCCGCTATTGTCGAAGCTCCAGTATGCTCTAGAGAGTGCTCATACAAGGATTTCACTAGCTGCAAGTCCAGCTCCTTCAATGGGACTGTCAGAATCATTTCCCTCTTACAATGGTTCGAGAAGCCAGAATCGATCTTTGAGATCGGTTCTTGTTCGGAAGGTAGCAAGGTATAATTTTCCTCCTGCACCTTCGCGGACCGAGATCTGACATGATGGAATAGC